TTTTTCTTTGTCTCTACAAATCTGCAGTTTGTTGGTCAGGATCATCGCTCCTTTCTGAGGACCCAAATTTTCATTTATTTTTCTGTTCAGAGACTAGAGCAGTAGAAAGATGTGGCAGTCTGTAAGGAATAGCAGTTAAATAGTTACCTGGTGTCCAGAAAGGCCTAGACCTAAGGTACACAAGATAGATAGCTGTGGTGGGTTGATCTTGGCTGGATGCCAGATGCTCACCAAGCTGTTCTATCACTCCCACCCTCAGCAGGGTGGTGTGGGAAGACAAAATAAGATGGAAAAAAACCACCTTGTGGATCAAGATAAAGGCAGTTTAATAAAGCAAAAGCCATGTGTGGAAGCAAAGGAAAACAAAAGATTTATTTTCTACTTCCCATCAGCAGGTGATGTCCAGCCATTTCACGGGAAGCAGGACTTCAGTACATGTAGTGGTTGCTCTGGAAGAAAAACATCATAGTAATCTCAGAGTCATAGAATGGTTTGGGTTGGAAGGGACCTTAAAGATCATCTAGTTCCAACCCCCCTGCCATCAGCAGAGACACCTTCCACTAGACCAAGTTGTTCAAAGCCTCATCCAGCCTGGCCTTGAACACTTCCAGGGAGGAACAGCCAGAGCTTCTCTGGGCAACCTGTTTCAGTGTCTCACCACCCTCACAGTGAAAATTTATTCCTAATATCTAATCTAAATCTCTCCTCTTCCAGTTTGAAGCCATTACCCCTTGTTCTATCACTACCTGCCCTTGAAAAAAGTTCCTCCCCAGCCTTCCCATAGGTACTGGAAGGCTGCTAGAAGGTCTCCCCAGAGCCTTCTCTTCTCCAGGCTGAACAGCCCCAACTCTCTCAGCCTGTCCTCATAGCAGAGCTGCTCCAGCCCTCAGATCATCCTCGTGGCCTCCTCTGGACTTGTTCTAACAGGTCCATGTCCTTAAATGAGTGTTCCCCCCTGCTTTCTCTTAGGTTTTATTATTGAGCAGACATAATGTGGTATGGAGTATTCCTTTAGTCAGTTTGGGTCAGCTGTCCTGGCAATGTCCCCTCCCAAGATCTTGCCCACTCCCAGCTTACTGGTGAGGGAGGAATGCGGGAGAGACAAACTTGATACCATGGGAGCGCTGCTCAACAGTAGCCAAAGTGCTGGTGGGCTATTGTGTTTCTGCAAAGCCAAGTTCATCTCTGTCCAGCATGAAGCATGGTTGCAACAGAGTTTAAATTTGTTCCCAGAGCAGCACTGAATGTCTCTGCACAGTCTATCTTGGAGCTCCTGGTTCCTGAAGGAAATGGGATCCTTGTGTTTGTCCTACAGCAGTGAGCTCTCCTCCACCCTCCAGAAGGGCTGTGGTGGAGCATATTCAGGTAGCCCTGCACAGCACTGTTTTGGGGGATGATGGAGCAGATTCATATGTTGGTCCAATTTTTGATGCTTTAGCTGGATGGTGGGTCGGAGAGGAAGGTGACCCAGAGCACAGGTCCCAGTGCAACTTTGACCCAAAGTTGACACAAAGTGACCCAAAGCAACTTTGCAGTCTGGCTGGTGAGGTCGCAGATGTTGTTATTCCTCATATTGAATGCCTCCTAAATAAGTGAGTGTTTCTGCTGTCTTTGCTGCTTCTGGTGGATTGGATCAGATCCAGAATTGCATTTGGGTTTTGCAGTATCTTGGGTTTTGGGGGTTTTTTTAGGGTTTGTTGGGTTTTTTGTTTGTTTGTTTGTTTTTGTTTTTGTTTTTTTTTTAAACTGCTGTAGCCACTGAAAAAAATGATTGTAGCTAACATGAAAACAGATGTAAAAGGCTGGCACTGTGGTGTGTGCAGCCATAAGCTGTGCACGTTGGCACGTTATTGAGTGTCGGATCTCATGATTTGGGCATAAAGGCTGCTCTTCAGTTAAGAAAGCAAGAGAAAAACACTTAAGCTGCTTTATGAAAGCAGATAGCTGAAAGGTTAGTAACTGTTCCTTCAGATGTAAACACTTTCTGACACCTAAAGCAAGGGCAGGTGTAAGTGGGTGTGGTTTACATTGTGTCTTATTAAGTTTTGAAAGAAACTTTGAAGATTGCTTTGAAAGGTAGAGTGGAGAGGGGCTTGGGGGAAAGCACTTGGCACAGACTGAGCAGCCACTTTGTCTCTGGAAAAAGTAGTTTAGAAAGCCAAGAGGATTTTGAACTGAGTGATGATGGGAAGAGATTTGAAGTTAGAAGCAAAGAAACTTTTCTTCTGTTTGTGAAGTAGGACTCGGTGTATTTGCAAATAAGACTTACCTCAAAGAAATGCTCATCTCCATCAGCTTCTGACAAACATAACCTGTAGCTCTGAATTTGGCTGAACGTGAATAGCTGTCTGGGTGGAGGAGGTGTGACACAAGATTATCCTCTCTGCCTTTTTCAAGTTTATAGCTTTTTCCTTTTTGAAGTGTCAATGCCAGAAATAAACGGTGTTTTAATAAAGATCCACGGTTTGTGAAATTACTTACGGGGGCAGAGGGGGAATTGATTGTAATACGGGTTATTCACAGTCAATTTGATGTTGAAACTGTGAAACTAATAGTCACGTGGAGGACTAGATTGGAAAAGGGAGCTCAAGTGCTTACTCTGCTTGTAATTTTTTGTTTATAGGAGGAAGATAATGTTCTCAGTTAAGGGAATGAAACATTATACTGGTTTTGTGGGCTGCAATAATGGTATTAATTTGGTGCTTGCAGTGCCTTTCAGGCACTCTTAGATAAGTCCTAATATTTCATGCACAGTGTTTGAGTGCAAAATATTTTGCAGGAAAATGAAAAACGTTTAAATTTGGCATTAACTACAAAGCAATACTTTATATTGATAAAAATCTCAACAGTTTTTTAAAAGTAGAACCCCACAGAGATACTTCAGAATTAATTGATGGCAGATGAATTTAACGTAGTTAAAATGAATTAAACCCCTTGCTATTTAGAATGATATAAAGATGTCTGAATTTTATTCCCAAAAGAGGAAATACAGTTGTTAAGTCCAGATGGATTTTTGTTTTTATTGGAATAAGTTTTGAGCCTAGTAATATCTATCTTCTTTTTTTTTTTAAATGTTACTACCATAGTGTTGGCTGTGGGACAGCACAGACCTGCCTTTTTTTACATTGTTTGAAATCCAGTTAAATTAACAGTTTCACTATGCTTATTTTGAAAATTAGCACTTTCTTATTGAATTTGTAAGAACTGGAAAATAAGCCTGAGGATGATGTACAATCATTGGGGGTTGGAACTAGATGATCTTTGAGGTCCCTTCCAACCCAAACCATTCTGTGAATACAGAAAAGCCAAAGGCTTGGTCCTATGCCAAGTTATTGTCAGCTGAAACATGGTAACTGTCAGTGTCTGCAATTGTCGCCTGCCCAAATGAAGGTGGTGCAGAGGGAGCTTAGCTGCTTCTCAGCTCACGGAATCTGTGCTTGGGCTTTTTGCCTTCTGCTAAGGGCTTGTGCCGAGGCAGCTGCTGAGGTGCTGCAAAGGATGCGTGCTCAGTTGATCACATCTGAGGCCTAAGTTGCAAAGAGAAACTTTAGGGATTGAATTTATCCATTGAGCTGAAGAGGTAAGGCAGTTCTGCTGTTGCTGTATCAGTTTCAAGCTTATCATTCCATAAAATTATTAATCCTGTCATGGTGGTTTGTTCTTTACTGTGTTTTACCCATCTCAAGCTGTCTTTAAGTTCCGGGCCCAATTCTGCTCCACTGGTGGTGGAGTAGAATTCAGTAGACTTTCTGCTTCTGTTGGGATTGGCATCAAAATGGATGGCAAACCAGGAGGCTTACTACCAAAGTGTTGATTTGTCTCAAGTAACAGTAAAACTGGAAAAAAAAACCCCAACCCTACTATTGAGCATAGTCATAGAATCATAGAATGGTTTGGGTTGGAAAGGACCTTAAAGATCATCCAGTTCCAACCCCCCTGCCATCAGCAGGGACACCTTCCACTAGACCAGGTTGCTCAAAGCCTCATCCAGCCTGGCCTTGAACACTTCCAGGGAGGAGCATCCACAGCTTCTCTGGGCAACCTGTTCCAGTGTCTCACCACCCTCACAGTAAAGAATTAGTACCATATTTCAGTTCCACTTGTAACAGGGTATCATATTTTTACTGATAAATTTTGCAGACGTGTTCTAGGCTGGGGGAATAGTATATGAGGAAAAGGAATGACTGATAAAGGGTCTGGATCATGGGGTGAGCTAAGTGGAAGCTGGCAATAAGGATTTTCTACATGGCCAAATGTCAAGCTGCATGTATAAAAACTAGGAACTGTAAACCACAGTTGAAGCAAAGTGCTTCAAAATATGTCCCATCATATGAAACAGTGACTAAAAGTATTGGTCATTAACTGGTGAGCAAGAGTTGTCATCGTGATCATGGATCAAAGCGCTATTGTGATCCCCAGATGGCAAAATAAAAAGGTACCAAGTAGAGAGTGTATTTTCTTGATACTTGGCATATGTGCTGCGTATAGTACAAAGGTGAAGGATATTGATAAATTGAAATGCATTCAGCTGCAGAGCCAGTCCTGTGAGTAAAGATGTGGAAAACATGGTGAGAACTGAAAGGAGCACAAAATAGTTGGCTTAGCGAACTGTCAGGGAAGTGCTGATCCTAACAGGCCAGTCTCCTAAGTGGGGTCAAAATATTGATAATACATTTGATAAGAAAAAGCTCTCCAGCCTAGCAGTCAAAAACATATTATGGTTCAGTTTTGGTAAGACTGACCAAGCTTATTAGGCATAAAATGAAATTATTTTCCATAAATTGTAGCTACTTTGTAGGGTAATGACATTGTGATTTATTGCATACTCCAGCGTTCTGCCTTTGCGAGATGTCTGTTATTTTGTCTGGCTGATGAAGTTGTTCCCCTTCCTGGCGGAAGGGACCATGAGGAGTTATTTAGGCAAAGTAACAAGAAAATGTTACAGCAAGAAATGGTGCTAAGAAAAAAGGGGAAAATGAACTTGTACTCTTGTGTTACAGATTCAGTGGTTCTTTCCTTTGACTCCGTTGGACATACAATAGGCTCAGGTACAACATTGCCTTCTTCTCTATCTCCCACCTCGTGACAAGGCTTCTACTTGATCGGACATGGTAGCCATGTTGGGAGGCAGGTCACTGAGTCAGATTTTTATGGGAATCAACCATCTAGCCAAAGTGGGTAAATAGGTCCTTTCCTGAGTGCAGTGGAAGCATTAAGGGTCTTGGTGCAACACGAGGATTAACGTGTGGGACCCCTTCCATTCCCCAGCAAGGCAGATGACCTGGGCACGTTACATGCGTTAGTGATGCGGTTTGTGCTTCTTTTCTCATGTGAAAGGCATTAAGATGATGTCACTCACCAGCTGAAGAAAAACTGTTCCATGCTACTAGGGAGAGTTTCTCAGCTAAACAAACAGTTGAGTTATTTGGGGAAAGACATCAGGAATGCTTCCAGGAAGGAGAAGGCGAAAGAGCTAAACAAATAGGGCTGCAAACTTTTTTTTGGGTGGAGATTGACTAGCATTATTGAGCCCCAGGGCAAATCCTGCCCAATCTAATTTCCTTTGGAACATGACCTTCAATTAAACTGAACCAGAAATCCAAAATTCTTTTGTGTTGGGGGCACTTCATAAAGCCAGTAACTATCCATTTGGCTATGTATAATGTGCGAGCTGTAGCCAAGACACACCATAGTGAGCACATTACTTGATGAAATTCAGTTTACAGTGTATGTATAATGATACACGAAGTGCAAAAGAAAGGCTAAGAATTACTCTTATAACTTAAAACCCTTTAACACTTAAAAGATAGGAGTATTTACTGTCTTGCAGAAAATAAAAAATAATCTAAGTGAAGGTTTTGTATTTTGTCTTGCTTACTAGCCTTTCCTCTTAGGTTGATAGGGGGAACATGCTGCCTTCCAACATAGCACCTGTCTGCTACCTGCACAGTTTGAAAGAGAGTCTCCTGCCTGACACTAACAGCAAAGCTTGAACACGGATTTCCAATTTACTAACCCCCAAGCTAGTGGTAGTAGCTTGCTTTGTTTACAACACCCCAAATGCTTTCTCCTCTCCCTGCATCTTCTTTAAAAGTTTTATCTGGAAATGGATCTGTTGTGGGTGCGTGGTCTGATATGGGAGTATCTGTAGGATGCTGAGTGCAGAATGGATATGTTGTTGTGTTTACAGGGGGAAGAGACCCTCTATTAACTCCCTCCTACTAATTAGTATCAGTCATAACCAAAGTGTGTTGTTACCTGCCTCCGAGCTGGGTGATGGTTTCTTCAGTCTGCAGAAGTAGGGGGAAGGTTACATAGGTTTGAGATAAAAAATCTGTGAGTGAAATTCAGGGAAATATTTTGACTACAGCTGAGTATGTCTGAGGCATACCTATGCTGGAGTTGTGCTGGATTGATGTTGGTACAGCTAAGACCAGAATTTGTCCTGGAGTAAAACTTTTAAATATGACCTACTATGGATTTTTGTGTTTTTTTCCTAATACTATTTTGGCTTCCTACTGGTGTGAAAAGTTAACCCTGTGGATTGCTTCCAGTGCAGGATATCTGTGGAGTTAATCATAAATGTTGTGTTCTGATACTACCAATAGGGTGGTGAACCTAGTTATGAAAAAGAGTTCCAGTGCTCCATGTCTTTTGGAGTTCTGTTAATATGGAGGGTGGGAGACAAGCTAATATAAGCCAACGAACTGTTTGGGTCTCTTTTAAAAGCACTGGTCTTTGTTCTGCTTGTATTCTGCAACTCAAGCTTGGTTTGGTTAGGAGTAAGACAGTAAAATTTGATCTTCTGTAAACGCTCCCACTGCAACAAGACTGAATTTCTTCATTGAAGAAACCTCATGTATTTGAGAAGGGAGGCTCAGGAATGTCTGACAGCTGTGTGTTTAGTGCTTTTGTATTTAGTACTTTGCATTCACTGTGCTGCAAACTTTGCTCTGAACTGATATGTGTAATAAGATGTCAAGATGTCTGATGTCTGTCCAACTGAGGGATAGCTTTCCTTGTTGAACAGGAAGGAGAGAGAGAAAAACTGTGGCTATTGCGCTTCCGCTGTCCATCCCATCTCACCTTGCTGCAGACCCAGGAAAAGACAGAACCCAGAAAGAATCCAAAGAAACAATGGCAGCTCCAGGCCCAGCCATTCCTAGTAGGTGATGTTTCAGGTTGGGTAAGAAGGGACTAAAGTTACATACTTTGAAACATAAAAATACGTATACCTTTTTCTTTGTTAGTCAGAGTTAAACAGCTGTGAATAATAGTCTCCCTGTTAAGATTTCATGCTGCTTAAAATTAGTACTCATTGGTTTATATTTGCATATTAAACAACTTCTTAGAATTGCTCTTTTGTAATTGTTATTTGTGCCATGTGAAGGGCAATGTCTTGCTGCAGCTTCTGTGTTTTATTTGAATTGACTGTCCTTATCTTGGGTTTCCCCTTAACTCTTTGTCCCACATGCAGATCTCTGTTTTCAGGTGGGCTGGAAATCTCTCTTTAGGCATCTCAGATTAATGACGCTCTCTGGGTTATTCTGGATAAACTTTCTGAACTGAGCGTTCAGAAGATCATCCAGCTATGGAGCCTTAAAGTACTGCTTCACAGAAGATTATGAGCCTACAGGGCAGGAGAATCAAATATTGGAGTGAGACTGAACTGTCTGAGCTTCACACTATGGTCTGGCCTTCACAATTCCAGATGTTTTTGTGACTCTCTTCATGACTGCCCCTTCCCTTGAAAGATAAAGTTTGAGCAGCAAAGATAAATGTTTGATGTGATGTCTAGGCCAGTGTTTCAGCTGAAACCATTTCAGAAAGGAGGCTGTCATGCCCTGAACTTGGGAAACATTAAGCAGGACACAGGGTGTTTGAGGAGACCTAGATATCATTTACTTGCCATAGACAGCTAGTACTCCTTTTTCTTTTTTTTCCTTCCCTCTCTAGTTGCTTTGTTTTACTTCGTTGCTAGCAAATCAAACATTGGACCTTGAAAGTCAGATTTATACCCCTGCTATTTTTGTGTCTGAGAGCAAGGAAGTTAATTTTTTCTTCCCTAAGCCTCATTAGGATAGGAGTACAGTGAATGTGCAACTTTCCCATCTGCTAGTGTACTTGCTGGAAATATTGAGGTTCTAAATACCTTATGGCTGTAGGCTTACACTGTTGCTAGACATGTTTGATTGCAGTACTGGCCACCAGTTGTATAGCAAGTTTTCTCACTGTGGGCTTAAAAAGCAACAGTTCTAACATATCTTCTTAAGCAACTAAGTGTTATCTAGGTATTGCTCAAACTGTTTGAATATTTTAACTTTGTTGCTTTTTTCTTTTCAATTTAGTTCTTAACCATTACCAAAAGTTTGGCTTGACTTAGGCAAAGAAAATGGACCATTAAAAATCTGGTTTAGAGTAGAGGCTGTGGCTCATGTGCTTGTGAAAGCCCACGTGCAAGACCATGCTTCCAGATGCCGAGTCCACAATGGTAGTGGAGTAATCATCTGAGAGTTTAAATCTGTGCTTCTTTAGGAGATTGCTGTTAGTAATTCCTTGTGCTAGAGTCCTTAACCATTCTGGGAGAAGCTGTAAGAACTATGAAGGAAACTTTCTGTTTCCTTCAGCTGCTGAAGATGCTGAGATAACCATTTTGTGAAGGATGAAAAGAACCCTGTGTCTGCCCTCCTAAATACAACTCCAGAGTGAATTTGAGGACTGCTTTCCTATATTTTGGATGGAGAGTGGTGTGGATGGAGGCCAGGAATAGGAATGCATCTAAAATTGCCAGGTATCAAATTGGTAGAATAGTGACAGATTCCTAGCATGAGAGAAAAACATTGATGTCCTGCAGAAGATCCCTTGCTGTTCTTTGGCTTTCTCAATGAGAATCTGGAAGTATAGGTGGCTGCAGTTACAAATGCTGATCTTTCCCAGATTCCTAGGTTAGTGGTAATTAGTTTAGATATTATGTTAATTAATGGAATTTGTGAGGCTCTAGTAGATGTTCTTGGTTTGAGGAAAATGGTTCTAATTTATGTTCGGAACTAATGTGTTTCTAGTGTGTTGGGTTTTTTGTGTAGATTTTTTCCCTCAAATTGCCTTTCTGACTATCTATATTAATGCTATGTGGTAGTGATGGGAAAGGAAGGGTGGTCTTATTATGTTGCATTTTTCTGCATCCTGTAAAGTAGAAAATAA